CAATGTTGTTGCAAAGCGCGTGGCATGCAAGTGGTAGAATCTTCTCTGGGTTCCATTTTTTGCGGACTCGGTCCCACGCAGAGGTGGAACCATGCACGCTTTTTGACCACGTTGGCAGTGGTTCGAATTGAGCAACTTTTGTGACTTGGTTCCGCGGTTCTTCTTTGTGAGCCGTAAAACCAATGCAAACTCGGCAGCCCTGCAAGTGCTCCTCCAGTACATCGGAAAAGATATACAACACACCACACGTTCTGGTGGTTTTCATGTAATTTGCACAGGTTTTTCAATCTTTTGACAAAAAATTAGCGAAAGGAGGTACAGTGCTGACACAAGTTCAAAAAAGTATTGCAAGTACCTTCCAGTTAACTCAATATGCCCATTCACTCTTCTTGAGCAGTTTAGTTTGTTGGCGTTCCCGCAACAACACCACCGCAGCTTGTCACCGTACATGTAACTTCGACAAGAATGGGGCTGCATGCCGCGAGCTTTTCCAAAAAAACGACACCCGTTTTGATTTTGATGCTGTTAACACTCCAAATGGGTTTTCTTCTGGTCAGTATGAGCGCCCATTTTTGGAGCCGTCTAGTAGACCCAGAATAAAGCCAGTTAACAGCGTCAAAAATCTAAACAGGTGTCGTTTTTTGGAAAAGCTCGCAGCATGTAGCCCCTATCGGTGCCGGAGTTTCATGTACGGTGACAAGCTGCAGTGGTGTTGTTGAGGGGGCACATTGAGTTGGAACTGTGGCATCCACCCCATGTAATGGGTTTCGACGATGGTCGGCTCCTTCCCTTCATCGCCGCCGAGGCCCCGTAGCTGTGCATATATTTCGGCTCGTTAGGCCGTTGTATATGAGCGGGCTATCTATGTTTCACACCTTTGCCCTCGGCTTTCAGCCACCTCTACAGCTCTTTGAGTTGTGTCGGGTAGCATTTCTGCGGATTTGTGGCGTAATGAGACCGCATCATGCCAAAAATTTATTTTTACGCTCCAGCATTTTGTAGGGGTTGGACATCTCCTCGTCATACCGTTTTCAGGTCCGACAACTCTGCTTCCTAAGCGGCTTCTTCCAAGGATTCCTTAGGATTTTAGCATGGAGTTTCAGCTCTGTGCTTCAGAATCGCCTCCGTTCATGGGCATCTCCAATAATGTTGCAGATGCGAGCAAAGGGTTTAACCAGTGCGACCTGGAGTTTGACGCCGTTGAGCAATTTTTCGACTCTGCCCTGCGGGCAGCAAGTCATGCAGTTGTTCTCTTTTGCAGACGAGCTACTTGGCTTTGATGGTACGGCCCCTGTGGGATCAAGCGTGCGGCTCCATCATGGTTGGTCCGACGCCCACGAAAGTTGGTCTCAGACCGGTTCGTCTCTTCGCCTTCCGCGTCCGTCTTACAGAGTCCGACTTTTTTGCAACGGCTTCAAAAGAGAGTCCGCTTGGGCGAAGCTTGAGGAGTCAGGGTGTTCTCGTAACCGATAACGGACTAATCCGACCGAAGACCTTGGTTACGTTTCGTCAGCTCTGAGCCGTGGCCTAAGACCGTAGTTGTCTCCGTCAGTTTGTTTGCACCGAACTCGAAGCTGCTGACTGCAGCCATTGATGCCAACCTACGCCAGCAGAAATTGAGCGCGTGCCCATCCAGCGCATCTTCCTTTTGCAGGATTTCGGCAAAGAGGTAGGGGGATTTTTTTCTCATGGAGTTCAGGCGAAAAAGTTTCGATTCCACACCTGTGTAAACAAGAGTAAACCATGTGTTGAACCCAAAATATAAGCACGTTGGTAGGCTGGCCGAATATGAATGTCGACGACATGTGCCGCTTGATTGAATGAAGCACCGTGATCCCTGATGCCTGGCAAGCCTGTCGCCCTCTGGTTCGTTGCAACTGCGCCCATAGATCGAAAACGATCCCGTTTTTCGTATTGGTGCAATCTTGGTTGTATTTTTCAACCTTGATTTTGCCTGTCGTACATTAATTGGCAGCAACAGCACTGTTTCACGCAGCTTTGGCTCTAAAGACCCATTTCTGTCCAGTGAGGTTTGCGGCATGGCGTTGAACAAGCTGAGGCAGGTTTGTTTCTCTTTTGCTGGTGACAAACTTCTCCTCAAACGACTGCAGGATTGATTCAGTGGATGTGGCTGGAAAGCGCGTGTTCATCCGCGTCGATTTCAACGTGCCGCAAGATAAAAAGGTGCCGAATGCTCGAAATTGTCCGAGATCGGAGTTTAAGTTTGTAGTCAAGTTTATGTAGCATTGCAGGCAGACAGGTGATGTAGTGTCGAGCAAAGAACACTGCAAACCAATTTGCTGACTTCAGGACCCAAGCATCATCACCAACACGCAACGCATTGACGCGGCGTTGCCCACCATCAAGTATTGCCTCGACAAGGTTTGCTTGAACGCATGATTTTTCTGGTCTAATGTAGTTGTTGAACAGCATCGTTTAGTTGCTAGCCTGTGTTGCCGTGTATGCTTTTTCCATCTTCGAACGAACTTCTCGACATCTCGTCGTCAGGGTTGCAAATCCGTCGTGCTCTGTTCACATCTGGGCCGACCGGATGGAAGCGCAGTCGAGAAGTGCGCCGGACATGCATTGAGTGTCAGCAGGTTCGAATCATTTGCGAAGAACTCACCCAAAGCTTATAAACTTGTTCTAGACGGCATCTTCTGGCCATCTTATGGGCTGCAGAAGTTTGTTATGTTTGCAACAGGTACTCATTGGCTCCGGTCGCGAAGTGCGTCCAAGAGAAGTTGGGGAAACCCGTCACCTTCCTGAAGGACGACAGTCGTGACAGCGGTGATGGTCCCTTTTTTTCCGATAGGGCTGCACCTTCCAGGACTGCTGTGGCCCAGAAGTCGAGGCCGCGACCAAAAGAGAAAAGAGCTATGGCTATGCGGAAATATGCTCGCTCTGCGAGGCCGCCTGCGCGAATCCTGCGCCGGGCTCCGTGATCCTGCTGGAGGCCCGGGCCCCTCGGCAGTGCGGCTGCATGTGCGTGTAACTCTGTGTCCGGTGCGCAGAACTGCCGCTTCCACGTGGAGGAGGAGGGCAAAGGCCAGGACAAGGCGAAGCCCCGAAGACGCTCTGTGTAGGCTCCACATGTAGGGCAGCAGAGACAGCACCGGCAAATTTGGTGAACACGGTCCACCCGCAAGGATGGAAACAAGATCAAGGCCGACAAAGAGAAAACCAAGGCGTGGCTCCGGTGGTCCTGCTGAAGGGAGATTCGAACTCGGCTGAAAACACCGCTGGAAGGGGGGGTTCTTTGCAGTGATGTCCAGCAACCTACACGGACAGACAGGAGTTCCGAGCTTCCATCGCCAAATTGGCGGACATCTACTGTGCGGCTCTTGGCAAATGGCAAAATATCTCAAGAAGATGTGCAGATGTGCGGTTGTAGCTAGCAAGATGTTGTTTGATTGTATGCCTCGTTCCGCATGAATACACCCAGCTGCAGGCAGCGATGCCTTTGGCACGGCTCATCGCGCTCATAGCTCGATGGTGGGTGAGGCATCAGTCGAAGGTTTCAGCTGTGCGTGCTGGAATCATTTTTCGTTCTGGCAGGGCTACTCCGTGAAGTGCTCGGGGTTCCTTGTGGCCAAGGACGCGTTGCACGGAGGTTTGTTCAAGGAGGTTGAAGTGTCAGCGAACTCGACATCAGCTACTGGTAGGGCGAGTGGATCGAGGCTAGGACTAGGACGGTTTCAGGAACTGGAGGCCTTCGCGAAGGTTTTGGACAGCCCGGTGAAGCCGGTTTGTGCAATTCTGGGCGGGGCCAAGGCCCGGGCTTGCCGCCTCTCGAGTCTCTCGAGCAGCGGAACGGGGGGGCGGATCTGTGCAAGGTGACGGACAAGATTCAACTTATCAAGAACATGCTGGACAAGGTGTCGGCAGTGCATATAGGTCTTCATGTGGGACAAGCGATCTATAGGCTCCCTGTGGGAGAATCGCTGCCTCAGGTGGATGCCATGATCATCGGCGGCGGCATGGCCTTCACCTTCATCAAGGCCAAAGGGCCTCCGCGGAGCGGAGCTGAGCGGAGCTGAGCGGAGCTGTTCACAGCTCGGCGGATGAGAGCCTCTTGCGGCAGCCGGGAGGTCCTGCACGGCATGAGCATCGGCAACTCCCTCTTCGACGAGGCGCACGCACGGCGCAGCGCGGCGCAGCACGGCGCAGCGCCTCTCCGCTCTTTCTCGCCGCTCCGCTCCGCTCCGCTCCGCTCCGCTCTTTCTCAGGAGGGCGCGAAGATCGTGCCGGAGATCATGGAGAAAGCCAAGGCGAAGGGAGTCGAGCCACGGCGGCAGGGGATTTTTTTAGGGTTTCGGGCCCTTCTTCTTCCTTTCGACTCAAAGCCGAGGAGATCGTGCTGCCCATCGATTTCGTGATCTCCTCCAAGTTCGGGGAGGCTCCACCCACCGCTTGTCCCTGCCGCATCGGTTTTGCTTCGGTGGGCGCCGAGAGGACGGGGAGATCAAGACGGCCACGCTCGCCAGCGGCATCCCGGACGGCCAGGGCCCGGGGCAGGGGCACGGGGCAGAGCGAGGCTGCGCGCAAGGCTGCGCGCGCCAGGCTGCCGTCATCGCATGCGCGCGCCTCTCCCTCCTTGTGTTCCGCCGAGGCTTCATGGGTCTGGGCCTCGGGCCAGGGCGATCTGACGCAAAGATTGTCAGGCTGTAGACGAGCCGATGAAAGCAGCTTTGGGCCGGCTTTCGGGCTTCTGCAGCCAGAGAAAACTCCTCCTCTTTTTTCCTTGTTTTTTCCGCGTTTTTTGCACCGAGGCCTCGACTGCGGCCCCGAGAGCAATGCCTTGAACTCGGCGACCATTGCAAGGAGAAGCCGAAAGAAGCTGAGAGCGCTTTTTTGTCTTTGTCCGCGGGGAGAGGGAGAGGGAGAACTGGTTACCTTTTGTGAAGGGCAAGAGAGAGGCGTAGAGCGAATCTTTGACAGGAGCAAGACCATCGTCTGGAACGGGCCCATGGGCGTCTTCGAGATGGCCGCGAAGTGCTGAGCAATGTATAGTGCGCAAAGCTCTCAAGGGGCCGAAGACGTTTTATCTGCCAGCCAAGGCCTTCGAGACAGGAACCAAAGGCGCTGCTGCGCGTGTCGGGGGCGCGTGTCCCTTTCTTCCCTCCCATGCCTCCTCTCGCCAGTGATGATGGACAAGATCGTGGAGGTCACCAAGTCCGGCGCGGTCACGGTGTCTCGGTTCGAGACGTCTTGAACTTGTAGAGATCGGGTTGCCTGCTGAAGCGACCTCTTGAAAGCGCTCACATGAGCAGGTAACTAAGCGGGGGAAGCCTTTTCGTACAGAGACTCTTCGGCCATCAGCTCTTCTGCCATACTGTACTCACTCCCGAGATGATTAAAGCAGATTGAGGAGACTCTGTTGCTGTGACGTTGAGCGACCAGGCAACTGCCCCGATGTTGCAAGATGGGACTCACAGCTTTGCGAGTTCGTTTCGACGTTTGGCGCAAGATTTCCGAACGCCTGGAAGGCAGCTCTAGCGGCTAGCGGCTAGCGGCCTCTAGCAGAAAAGCCGACAGCTTCTGACCCATGGCCTCCTCGAAGGTCATCGGAGGGGGCGACACCGCCACGGTTCGGACCTTGGTCTAGCGCCTTCGTCGTAGCCTCCTAGTAGCATCCTATTCCTTCCCATCGCTTCCGACTCCTCCACCCAGGGAGTTTGTGCCTGTAGAACAGCAGCGGTCAACTAATTCAAGAGATCTTAGCACCTCTCAGGCCTGCAAGAAGTATGACACGGAGGACAAGGTCGGAGGGAGAAGCGACTCGCCCGGGCCGAACTTCTCTGCTCGCTCTCGTCGAAAGGTCACCCACTGCTCCACCGGAGGCGGTGCTTCCCTGGAGCTTTTGGAGGGCAAGGCCAGATGGGCGATCATCGAAAAAGCGCCTCGCCAAGACTCCAGCAGGTGCTGCCGGGCGTGGCTGCGTTGGACGACGCACCGGCCGGAGGCCCCTCTTTCCGGTCCGTTGCGAGGAGAGGCGAGTGCAGGCTGCGGAGTGCTTTTGGTGCGTTGAGGTGCTTTCCAAATCCTCCAAGTTCGGGCAAGGGAAATCTTCGATTCCAGGGGCAACCCCACCGTTGAGGCGCTCGGAAAGCTGTCGATCGCCGAACGACGAGAATTCTGCAATCAGGTGGACCTCTGCACTCCGATGGCTCTCTTCCGTGCGGCGGTGCCTAGCGGTGCCTCCACCGGCATCTACGAGGCGCGGTGATGCGCCGCGCCGGGCACGCACACCTCGGCTCCGGCAGGCGCTGGAGCTGCGCGACGGTGACAAGGGCCGGCTGCTGGGGAAAGGTGTGCTAAAGGCAGGGGCAGGGAGAGAGAGAAGAGGGGGGAGAGGAGATCCCAAGGCAAGTTCCAGGCGGCTTTGGTCTCTCCTTCTCAGGCCGTGGCGAATGTGAACGAGATCATTGGGCCCAAGCTGGTGGGCATGGACGTGCGCGAGCAGAAGCTGATCGACGAGGCCGAAATCTGGGCTTCCGAGCTCCGGCAGGCAGGCAGGCGGCAGGCGGCAGCACCCTTGTTTTCTGTGGAGGTCATGGTTCAGCAGCTGGACGGCTCCAAGAACGAGTGGGGCGCAGCTCCTACATAAGAAGCTGCGAGCGTGGGACGAGAAGCGAGAGCAGGCTTCCCGTCCTTTTCTGAGGTTGGTCCAAGTCCAAGCTGGGTCCTGGCCTTTGCTTCTCTTGGCCGCTATCCGTGCGCCGCCGTGGGGGGGGGGGAACCCCGCGGGGCCTTCCTTCCCTTGGCACCTCTTCAGTTAGGTGCCAATGCAATCCTGGCCGTGTCCATGGCGGTCTGCCGTGCTGGCGCAGCTGCGAGCCAGGGACCCAGGGAGGGACCCGAGGTCTCAGGTCTCCGCCCTCGCCCTCCGCTGCAGGCCAGATGCCCCTTTACCAGTACATCGCCAAGATCTCTGGCAAGCCCACGGACAAGCCCGGGGCCCTGAGAGACACTTGGGAGTCTGGAGTCTCTAGGCCCATGCCCAAGGGTAAGAGACACATTCCGAGAGGGCTTTTTTATGGGAGGATGTTTTCTGGGGCTCGGGTTCGGCTCAGAGGCACGCAGCTGCGCAGGTCTCTCTCTCTCTCTCTCTCTGCGGATGGGGGGCAGCGAGAAGAGGGTCGGGGACTACAACCGGCGGATCGCTGCACTCTCGCAGGTCTCTGATGCCTCTGGGGCTGCGTCTCGATGGCACGGAGCGCTCTCCCTCGTCGAGGACATGGAAGCAGGAAGACTGCTGCCAGACCTCGTCACCTTCAACTCGGCGATCTCTTGCTGCCAAAGGGAGGCCATGTGGC